TATTTTAGACAAAACAACTCCAAATATTTTTCCTCACGTATGCTTTTCCCATAGTCTTCCTCTTCTCAGTGAATGGCTCTGCCATTTCTGCATTTTCCTGGGCCAAACACCTTGTATGTACCCTTGATGTTGCTCCTTCCCTCAATTTATCATCTAGTCCATGAGCTCCACTCTAAAATCAGTCTAGAGTCAGACCACTGCCTTCCACCTCCACCACCAGCACCCTCATCCAATTCTTCATCGTCTCTCATCTAGGTTATTCAATAACTTTCTACTGGCCTCCCTTCTCAAATCCTAGTCTTTGTTGCTCTTACTGTGTGCCCTTATAGTTTCTTCATCTGCAAAATTGGGGTAATAATAGAATTTGCCTAATAAATTTGCTGCGAATTTTCAGTAAGGTAAGTAAGGCCTTTAGATTGGATAACTTGTCATAACTATTATAATTGCCTATCAGTACTGCTGTCCTCAACATCCTAATGTGTGGTTTCTATCCTCAAGATAACCTCATAGTCCAGAATGACTGCTAGAGCTTAAGCCATCACATCTACCTTCCTGGAAGCCAGATGGAGGGAGTCCTTTTAGGAACATTATGTGGAAAAGCCACATCCATGGATATCTCATTGACCACAACTGAATCACTTAGCCACACCTAGCTCTAATAGGGTCATTTGGTTGAGCCTGGTTACTAAAAAGAAGGGCAGAATGGCAGTTACTACAACTAACAGTAGCAATGCCATGAATAGGAGATATGTGGTATTATGAGGGCATGTGTTCTTTGAGAACTAGTCAGTAACAACTGACTAGAGAAGTAGATGTTTACTAGGAAAGGCAGGAGAGGTGTGAGGGAAAGTTCCAGAATGAGGGAAGAACAAGTAAATGTCTATGACAGGAGAGGGCATGGCAACTATTTACGCTGCACCGTACATTGCACATCACACGCTGAGAAACGGGGTAAGCTGAATTTTCTTCCTCCATCCAGACTCTCCTATTAGGGCTGGTGCCAGGATTTCTCATTCCCCGTTTTTCATATGGGAGATGCCCAGATGGAGTGGCCTGAGAGGTCCCCACCTCCTTCAGGAGCTAGGGTTGGTGATCATACCCTAGGTCTGCACGAGAAGCAGCACCTTAAGCCTGATGATTAAACAGAGGTGGAGGCTGAAGGGACACTTGACTTTGACCCTCAGGTTAAGGGTTTCCTGGCTGGCTGACCTTGGCAAGGTGCTTAGCCATTCTAAATCTTGTCTGTGTCCTTGTCTATAAACTGAGGCTGATGCTCATATCTAACCCAGAGGTCCGCTGTGAGGACCAGCATTGCTCATGATGGTAAAACACTTAGCCAACTACCTGATCCATTGAGAGTGTTCACTCAGGAGTGGCTGTTTCTATTGTTACTGTCGCTTTCATCTCTCTCACTTTCCTCTCCTTCATTCTCTCTTGAGTGAAACATTCTCAATCTTTCCATGTTCAAATGTGAAGTCTCAGACAAATGCATCCTTCACCCAGCCTTTCTCTAGGACTGTGCAAGCCTACAGCATACCAAGACTTCTTTCTTTACCCTTCCTTTTAAAAAGTGACTGGAGGATGTATACAGTTGGATATAGAACCATCCTGGGGCGTTTGGCCTGGAAGGAAGCTGAAGCTGCCCATGCAGGCCCTTATGTAGTAAGTAGGGAGTCAGACCCAGAGAGATGGAGCCTGGTTGACAATGCCTACATGTGGCATCAAAGAGGAAAAGGTCTTTGCGGACAAGAAGTTGCCTCACCTCAGGCGGGGTGACTATGGGAAGTTCCCAGGCTGGTTTTCTGCATGGTCATGGGTCAGGAAGATGGTCTGCACATATGCAGAAGTCTGTACCAGGTAGATGGGGATCAAAGAGTTTCCTATCTATCCTTCTGGCAGAGATATTTATTTTTCTCTGGAAAGCCATCAGCTTGGGGTATAACATGGTGTGTGTGGAGAAGAACTCTGTAGATTCAAGGCAATTACCCCAGTCATCTTTGCCTGGAACCCACCCTAGGTATAGCCTAGTCATAAGGTGCCTTCTTGAACAAGGTGAGCACCAGTCACAGGCACAACTTAGAGAACTTCATAGAGACCTACAGACAGGGCAGAGACCCTCATGCCGGCATGGAGCTTATGACCTAGAAGAGGAGATACATTAAACAAATAAATAATAGAAATTATAGATGTGCTCAGAACTCCAAAGAAAAGGTGCACTTAAGACCTTTAGAGATCATTGTGTCCAGGTATATGTTTTGCCATTTCTTATTTTTTAGCCCACAGAAGACATTGCTAATTATTTATAGCATTCTTTCCAATAAAACTCAGACATAACTTCAGAATCCTTCTCAACACAGCCCTCCAGACAGCTGTTACTAATCAGTCAGACTTGGCTCTTGAGGCAAAACCTACTGACCATCCAAGATCTGGCCCATTCCCTAGGCCTCCCGCCACCATCCCTTCTTACAGACAAACTCCCTGACCAACGGCTGGAAGGCAGTGCCTCAAGACTCTAGCCAGAGGCCGAGGTGGACCCAATGTCTGGCTGGTCTGATTCCCAGCTCAGGGCTCTGTGCACCATTTGTGAATGTTGGGTGAGTGACGCGTCTTCCAGAGGGCCGGCTCCCAAGCAGTAGCGTCTGTGGCTGCCGACGATCCCATCTAAATTTGTTATGTTCTATTCTGAGGCTCCTTCGTAGAGGTCCAACCTGTTTAGGGCATCGCAAGCTGTAATTTATGTTATTTAAAAGCTCCGATAGGAAAAGTCGCTCTTTGTTCTCACGAGTTATTTCTTGAGGAAAATCTATGTTTTGTGGGGAGTTTGAGGGCAGTCTTAAGCTGAGGACATCACCACAAAGGCCTAGTCTCTCATTTTCCTTCCCGGGATTTCTTCTCATGTGCTTCAATGGGTGAGTCAAAAAGAGGTGTTTCCTGCTCTACCAAGATAAAGCTTCCAAAAAGAGAGAGAGAAAGGGCATCTCTCCCTTGTAAGAGGCCTGTCAAATCCAGCAGTTTGTGCAGGACTTAACTTTGGTATTTATTTTACAGTTCATCAAACATTTGTAATTCTCAGGGCCCCCTGTGCATTTACTATGACATAAGCTGTGATTCAACACAAATGCTTTCCTAAGGAAACATACATTTATCATTCCCTTCATGTTGGTGTCTCCAAGGTTTCTTTTCCTTTGTGTGAAAAGACGTTTAATATTTCAGAGACTTTTCTTTAAGCGATTCCTCATTGGAGGCTCAATTTCTCACCTGCTGATAACATTTTTTCTGAACTCTTGAAAAGCCCGGAGGAACTTGCGAGCTTCCTTTTTGAAGAGTGGCAGCCATACTAGGAGGAAAGAATCAGGAAAACATACTTGTATTGCTGTCTTCTTAAATTAAGAGACCTTTTGGGATAAAACTGCTTGAAAATTAAGTGTTAGAGAGGTTGGGGTCTGCTTTTCATGGACATTCTCCAGACCATTCTGGAGAAGTCTCTGAGATCCAAGACATCTTATTGGTTTGGGTTTATCCCTTCTACCCTTTGCTGGGCTCCATCCACAGGGGCAGAGACTTAGGATGAATTCAAGGTCTTGGTGCATGTGAAGAGAGAGCATTCTTCCCAGGATAAAAAGAATGGGAAGGCAGACGATTCAAATGGGGTCCTGGGATGTCTGGCTTAGTTGTCTTGCATCTTCAAGCACTTTTGATGTTATAAACTCTAGAGAGACAGAGAGAAAGCCTGCAAGTCACAATTCCCAAGGGTTTTGCGGCCTTTATTAATGTGTGAGTTGGGTTGAATTTGTGCATTCTAAAGTCAGGCAACCCAGCCCTGCAATTTATTATCTATTGGACATTGTATAATTACTTAACCTCTAAGTCCCATCTATTTTTCATCTGTAAAATGAGGATAATGAGGGTACCTACTATTGGGTTGCTGTGATTTAGTGGGATAATGCAAATAAAGGTCTTAACACAGTGCCTAGTGACAAGTTCACACTCAATAAATGTTAGTCTCTATACAAGAAGTTAAGTCTTGAAAATGATGTCATTCCTAGATTTGGTTTTTAATACATGGATAATATTAATTCCATTCCAGATTAGAAAAATGCTTTTCAAAACACTGCATGCTGTAACAGCGATCACAAATATTGTGGCATTACACCACAGCCTAATAGTCTCCATGGAGAGAAAAAAAAGTCTCATAAATGTTCATCTTTTTCCACATACCTATAATTTCAGTTCCTTGCCTGTGCCATTGGGAGAGCTATTATGTCTTATTTTATGGATTTACTGCCTTTCATTGTTCTTAGAGTATCAGCTTTACTTCAGATGCACAAATCCTTGTGCATGCTTCCTTAACCACCAATAAAGGTAACAGTTAATGCGCTACAAAGCAAGGAAAATTGACTTTAAAAACAAAACATTCTTCTAATGCTCTTCCCTTTATGTACAGCAGGATTTCTTAACTTTGGCACAAGTGACGTATGGGCCGGATAATTCTTTGTTGTGGGGCCATCCTATGCACTGTAAGATGTTTAGCAGCATCACTGGTCTCTACCCTCTAGAGGCTAATAGCTCTCGTTCCCTCCCCTCTCCCAGTTTTCACAACCGCAAATATCTCTGGACAGTTCTTTTCCAGTGGGGAAAGATTGGTGTACAAGGAAGAAGGAACTGGGTCTTGGAAGCATGTGTTTTGGGCCACTGGACAGAAGAACTTCAGGTCCAGCTTTGCAGAAGTTACCAGACTGCCTGGGCATGGTGATTCCCAAAACACGTACTCACAGATTATCTGTTGATACCACAGATTTAGAGAGCAGTTCGAATAATCAGCACTGTAGCTTTATTTTGGGAAATGGGTTGGCTTTAGTTTTATTTCCCTCTTTGTCTCCCAGTTTTGATCTTTCCGTTTGCCAATGGTAGTTAAATGAAGTTTTACAATTAATCTTAACTTCTTATATAATGATTGCTTTTTTCTTGTCTTTTCTTTTTTTTTCCCCCTTATTTTTCAGCTCCCTCAGGCACAAAAGGTAAACTCTTTTCCGTCACATCCCAGTCATCCCCAGAACTCACAAGTCGTGCATGTCTCCATTATCTCTGCATTTCTCTCTGTTCACTACCAGTGAAATGGCTTTCCTCTTACAATTTCAGAAGCCTGAAGTTGGGCAGGAGCAGAACGGCCAACAGACTCAGGTGTCCACTGTGTCCCTGTCAAGTTAGTCTCACCAATGAACCCTATTGTCGCCACTGGTTTGGGGGCGACTGTGCCCAACCATTTTGCTAAGAATTTTCAAATAATAAGTCAAGAGTAAATTTGGCAGATCCTTGAAACATAGCATTCTAAGTCTTCCCTGAGATACTTTCCTAGGGAGACAGATAATGTGAATAATTTGTAAGGCCCAGTGACCAAGTTTAGATTCTGGGCTCTTAAGCCAAGTCTCGGACAACTCCCCTTGGGTTTCATTAATTGCAAAATCAACAGCTCCTTTGCTTGTCTCATAGCCCATACCACCTGGAGAGCATTAGAGCAGAGTTCTTGCCAATGGCCAGACCTTTTCACTGGTCTTCATTGTCTGTCTGAGATGATCCACCATCTAGAATGTTCTCTGTCCGGAAAGATTCCATGTGGTTGCACTCTGGCTTTGCTGTGTCATCCCCATGGCATGTCATTTTATCCTAAGGATAGTTGTGGCAGAAAACATGTTACCTGGTGCCTGCTGCTTTGCTCTTGTATATTTTATAAACACAAGCAAGATTTCCAGAAGACACAGAGATTTCTGGGGGCCAGATGTGGGTTGGTTTTGTTTCAAGAATTGAAGTAGGGCACCACCCCGAAATCTAAGCAGTACCTCCCAAACTCTCCAGTTTGGAGCAGGGATGATTTGATTCCTTCTCGTTGAGAGAGAGAGCACAACTGCTCTACAAAAGACAGTCTGTTCAGACCATATGGACAACCAGAGGCCTAGAAATTATTACACAATTACTCAAATATATTTGAGATATTTATACAAGGCGAGACATACTAGAGTGTGACTTGGCTTGTGGTAATGTTTGATTACACTTCAGTGCCATCACAAAAGGACTGAACACTTCACTAAGTATTTGGAACAACAGCTTCCAGGGTAAATATATGGTCAGAACTCCAGATTATCTAGAAAGCTTGGCATCTTTGATAGGTCGTGCTTTCTTAATTGCCCACATTTGAAATTTCTTTGTAAAGAGTGCCTAAAATTTCAGTGCCTAAAAATGGGCCACCCTCAACATACTGGCATTTATTCATCAAATTTCCACTGATCCATGTACAAAAGCCTTCTGTTGTGGAAGATTCCTCATGAATTTGAGGTGCCATCAGCCGTGGAATTTTAAAACAAACCAACACAGAATATGATAAGAACAAATGTGCTGGGACATCTGATTCTTTGATAGCACTCAGCTCCTCACACTCTTTCCTTCTGTCATCATATATTGACTCACTCACATCACATGCAGAGTGAAGCGTGTTATTTTGGGCATAGAAAGTTCAGAATTGAGGAAAATGCCCCAGTGGTTTTCCCTCTCTCCAAAAGATGTAGGACCACCCAAGGGACTTGCTCTGCAGTCCTATATAACAAGGAATAGCTCTGCCTTCTGTTCTTCACCATGGCTGCAAATTATCTTCTTTCTATTAAAATAGAGAAAGTTGCTTACCTTAAAAATTATTAAGAGCCCTGTGTGAAATGGTATCAGGACTCTTTGTGGTCGTTTTTGGGCAAGTCAGCTCTTGAGTGAAGGAGTTTAAATATAAACCTCAGGTATCTGGGCTGGAAGGTGAGGGCAGTGGAGGAGAGGCACTATGGATTGAAGACATCCTGCTGAGGGAGGCATTGCTTGTCTTGGCCCCTGATGCTCTAGAGCAGATCAGGAGAACAGTCATATGCAATGTGGTGGTCTGGGACGTCTGCAGTGTTTTGTGGTTCTGACTCAAGCCTAATGAATAATCAGGAGATGGCAAAAGACCCCAGAAGGTATGTGGTGCTCCTTGTATTTCATTAGAAACTCTGTGCATTACCTGACTGTACCGTTTACACAGAGTCAGAAAGAAATGCAGATTGGGCTTGAAACTCCAACAAAGCAAAGGCTTCCAGGGACGAGTGTTTTGAGAGATTTCCTCCAAAAGCCTTTGACGTTGCCCATAGATTTCATCCACCCGTGGACATGATTATAATGAGCCCCTTCCAAACCCAAGAGTTTGTTGTTCTGGAGGTAAAAGGGAGGCATCTCCAGCTGTTACGTCTTTGGCCTGCTTTTCACATGAGGTCATGAGTGCATACATTGGACCATATGGTGTCTGCATTTGTACTGTGTTTTTGTTGGAATCTCTCTTTGTATCATCTGCAACTGTTTTCTCTATAAATATTTTAAATAGTTATGTCTCTGTAAACATGCTTATTTTAATCTCTTGCCTAATCTACAACTAAAAATGTTCCATTTGGGTGTCCGTCTTATGTGTAGCAGTCATTAATGATTGTTTTCTGTAAGTTATGGTTTTCATGATTCTAATATTTTGAGGGTCTCCCAAAACTTCTCTTCTAGCCGCTTTGACTCTATTCTAGAACAATGGCTTGCAAAAGCAAATTGTTTGGTTTTGTTTTTCTGTGATTCTTAAGCACCTCTGAGACAATTTCTAGACTCTATAGGTTTCAACCTTTGATATAACATTAGGGTGGTACTAACTGGTGATACACCTGATCACTGTTAAGTATTTTCACCAAATGCATATGTGGAATCCTGAAGTCTTGATTAAAAACCATGTAGCCATACAGAACTGATGCCTTCAAGCCATCACAAATCTGTTCTTTCTGGTGGAAATGGAACCAGTTTCTCCAGTGGATTGATTATCCTTGAATCCAACAGTGAAGAGAAGTCCATATGTAAGAAAGGTTTGCCTTTTTTTCCCTTATATGTTACTTCTTGACTTCTACAAAAATATCTGGGAGATTCCACTTTAGTAGCAGAATTTTCCGTTTGCAAATGTATCTTTATTGGTCATACATGGCAAAAATGGTCCATTTTTCAAGCTGCATATTCATTCAAGTAGGTTCTGTCTATAGGAACTAAATAAACATCAGTTGTTCACTGTTTGATTAATTTAATCACTGTAGAGTGGAGCCTTGAATACTTAAAGGCAAAAATACTCTTTGGGGAATTCCAAATTTGGCAGTCTGCAGGGGTTAACTTTTCCACACACTGGTAGCCCCTTCCCTTCATTTTATGCTGCCTTCATACAACTTTGGAGTTTGTCAAAGACACTTTCTTGAAGGTTTCAAAGATGCTCCATGTCTTGCCTGGCAGTATGTTGGTTAATATCAGCCTGAGAATTCTAAGCAGGCTAAGCATTTTTCTCAAAACCATAGTTAAAGGAAACCACATCTCTAATCCTGTTTGGAACAGCAGTTGATGCATTCAGGGCTACACAGGATGGCAAAACGATCCCTGTTTAATAGCCTGACCACGTGTTTTGTTTCCTGTTAGGAATAGCTTAACTTGCCTCCTTGAACAAGCACAGCAGGGTTCAAGATCTGTTGTTCTATGCCTGCTGTGATATTCTGTGCTGCTTAACTTATATGAGGACTCAGGAGTGCATAAATTAGCTTCTTAAATGGAGGTCGATTTTGGGGTTTTCTTTCAGGATGGAACTGTTTTATTAATTTCCGCCCCACCCCCCCAGTGTAAATGGGATCCTGAGTCCATTTGCATTTTCTTTGTTTCCTTGTTTATATTATATTTAGGAGGAATAAATAGAAGCATTCATTTATGTAAAGTTTTTCTTTCTCTTTTGCTTTTTTTCCTTCTTTCTTTGCTTTCTTTCATTTGTCTTGTTCTTTAGGTACAAATTTGTGCGAGTAGAATTTGGCCTACTCTTATCTTGGTGTAATCAGATTTCGGCAATTGTGGGGCATCATTTATCATTCTTTGCCTCATTTAACTTTTATACTTTGAAATGTTGAATTAACTGTCATTGAAAATAGAAAATTGAAAGTTTGCAAAGCTGCTGTTTTTATAGAACTGTAGGTCTAGTGATTTTAGTGTTTCATTACAGTTATATAACCAGCTAAATTGTTGCAAATGAAGTGCAAAACTGAGAGGTGATAACTATTTACATTTGGTTCTGTTTTATGACTCATTTGCTTTTACCTTTACTTGCATTGTGTGTAAATTATTATATCTTGTTTTGATAACCCTGTTTTCCTCCTTATCATTTACTGTCTTATAGGAACATATACAGGCATCTTTTATATGCATTCCCAAGCTGGGACTCCTAAGATTCACTATCCTGAGTCTGAAAGATGATAGCAGCACAATGGGCTACAACTTAAATTAGTAGATCTATTTTGTGAATAAGGCAAGGGAAATAGAAACCAGAGCAAGTCTAGTCACTTCAGCTCTCCCATGGTCAGTGTGGTGGACTCTGTGGAAGTAGTTACAGCATATTGCTCAACCATAATGATGAACGCAGAACCAAATATTTTGTTCTCCGCTGTAGTTCTGTATGAATGTATCTGTGGCAGTCCGGATGAGCTGCCTTGCTGCTGAGGAAGGAGGTGGACTTTGCAAGTTTCATACCCATGTGGGTCTTGACCAACCCCTTTCCCATGGCCCTGTCCAACTCTTTGGTTGAAACCATAAATAATTGAATTCGACCCTCAGATTCAAAGGACATGGCTTCCTGATGACTGGATGGCCAGCAGAGCAGCACACAGGAGCTCCAGCTGAAGCCCCAGGTGGGCCATGGGGGGACCATGGAGCTCCATTTGAAAGCAGGAGGCTATTCACATTTCTCATTTAAAGGAAATAATTTGTTATTTTTAAACAGCCTCATAATGTGTGTCTACTTGTGTATATGGAAAAAATATTCGGGTTTTGCCTCATTTTCATATTTATTTGAACTTTTGTAGAATTTGTATACTATTTTATAATAAGGAAAAAAGGTAAGAACAAAGATTCAATTTCATTATGAAAAAATAAAAGGCTTTTGTTTTTATCTTCATGT